AAGGTATTTTTATGTATGTATGTATATATATATATATATATATGTGTGTGTGTGTGTGTGTGTGTGTGTGTGTGTGTGTGTGTGTGTATAAATATATATGTATATACATATATGTATATATATGTATATATGTGTGTATATATGTATATACATATATATGTATATATGGGTATATATGTATATATTAACATATCTATACACATATATATACATACACACACACACACACATATATATATATATTTATATATATATATATATACATATTTAGGTTGCTATTTTTAAGAAATATTTAGAAAGCAAAAAAATTAGCCATATTGGTTTTTTTGGTTTGTTTTTTAATGAAATTTTGTTCAGGAGAAAATTTATTTAAAAAACAGATGCCTTTAAAACAACGGCACCTGCATTCCAAAAATAAATATATAAGTATACCCTTAAATAAAAAAGAACAGGCACTCGGGGCTATATTTGTGATGAATAGAGGCAAAAACAGAGTCATCAGTTAGGCTGATTTAAACATCCCTCAAGCCTAGAGTATCACCAGGCTGTCAGTCTTCACTTAGCCATACCCCTCCACTTCCTGTTCCAGAATCCCCCATCCTCAGCCCCAGATCCATTTTGGTCCACATAAACTAAACCACAGGACTCCAGGTCTGTAGGATTTATGGTGCCACGGGTTCTGCTCCAATTTGCCAAGCCAGGAAGAAATGGAGGAGGAATGAATGAATGACTTCCATCCTCCAAAAATAACAAAAGAAGCCACATGGTTCATTCTGCAGGTACTCAGAATTATGTCTGGTATCAGAGGCTCAAGCCTATATCCCTAGATACTTAAGGAGGCTTAGATCTGAGGATCACTGTTTGAAACCAACCAGGGCAGAAAAGTCTAGGAGAATCGTATCTCCAATGAACCAGTTAAAAGCAGGAAGTGGAGCTATGGCTTTTGTAGTAGAGCACCAGCCTTGGGTTTAAAAAAATTCTCAAGGGCAGGGCCCAGGCCCTGAGTTTAAGCTCCAGGATTGGCACACACACACAAAGAAGTGTTATTCATAATACAATAGCAGTAAAATCTCAACACTGGGGAATGAATGTGTATGTTCAAATGAGCTGAATTAAAGCAATTCTGAATTACCCTTTGAGACTTGTTCTCATCTATGAAAGAAAGCCATTTGCAATCCTTTTACAGTTTTTTGCTGTTGTTGTTGGTGGTGGTGGTGTTGATGGTGGTGGTGGTTGTGGTGGTGTGTGTCTCTATGTGTGTGTGTGTGTGTGTGTCTCCTGAGACTTGAATTCAGGGTCTAGCCACTGTCCCTAATTATTTCTCACTCAAGGCTGGCACACTACCACTTTGAGCTGCAGCTCCACTTTCCATCTTCTGGTGGTTCATTGGAGGTAAGAGTCCCACAGACTTCCCTGTTTGGGCTGGCTTTGAACCGTGATCCTCAGAACTCAGCCTCCTGAGTAGCTGGAATGACAGAAAAGAGCCACCGGCTCCTGGCTTTGCTTTTTAGCCTGGAATAGTATGGTGAAAATGATCAGTCATCGAATTCATTCACTTAGCTCCTGACAGTTTTTATTTTTTCAGTTCAGTATGTTCATTAGCCTTTCTCATCTCTATGTCTAAAACACCTGACCCAAACAACTCTTAAGAGAGGCAGGATTTGGGGTGCATGGTTTCTTTCTGCCATGATCATTGGGTCTCAGGCTTGGGGGAGTACAACTCCATTTTAACAGAAACATCACTTTCTGTTTCTTCATCCTTGGTGAACAGGAAACAGAAAAGAGAGATAGATGCAGAGGCCAGGATTGAACTGAATCTACGACCCCATGACTATGCCACAGAAGCCAAACAAAAGAGAAAAGAGAGAGAAAAGTAAAATTACCTTGCTAAGGATCAAACAACATGTACTTTTTGTTCCTTCTGAATTCTTGTGAAAATCCAAGATTTCCCCATGGAAATCCAATGGGATTGCAAATACAGAATGTGGTGTCCAATTTCCATATTTGAAGATGAGAATCCAATAGGGAATCCATATTGGATTTCAGCCATTATTTATTCTAGAGTAAACATAACTTGAAGAACTTCATTGTTCCCTGATCTGTACAATATAATAATAATAATAATAATAATAATAATAATGTTTCCAAACTAAAATTAAGAGCGAGACTGGAGAAAGTCAGGAGGCAAAGAGAGCTGGTTGATAAGATTATCTTTTTCGGCCATGAGTGGGATGACTGAGGAAAGGTGAACTTGTAATTTCCCTGTGATTTTCACCAGCACAGCATCCATGAAAATTATGAAGATGAGCCTCCATTTCCAAAGGGGGGCGAGGTTGGAGAGAAAAATCATCCTCATTGCATTCATGTAAAGCATTGCAATTATGTCTGAATCTACTTAATTGAGGTAACTTCCTTCTCTGCTCTTTTCAGCCCTGATGCGTGGCTCTTACTGCCTACCCATCATGCCTAGCACTTAGGTGAGTGGTGAATCTTCTTGAAGCATCTAGATTTGATGCATTTATTTTTCCTTTGGGGGAATTGCCACAGGGATTCTGTGGAATTGAATCACGGCTGGCTGGCTCTTGCCTAAATAGATCTGGAGAATTTAGCAATGTGCCACATCAGTTGTGTATGGAGAACATCAGCCTGCATGTTGAAAAGCTCCTTTTTTACATTTACATTTCCAACCTTCCTTGCTGCTCCTCAATCCCTTAAGACTTTTTTTCTCTCTTCTTCACCCCCCCGTGTTTTGTTTTGTTTTTTTTTTTTTTAATTGGGTAGAAGTTTCCAGGCTGCTGCGATGTCTTTTGGAGACTAGGATTTCTATTGACCATCTTCTGTGGGTAAAATTCCACAGCTGAAGGAGGTGTGAAGACATGTTAGTCGATGCGTCTATATCTTGGGGTCCAGAAATGAAGTGAAGTGGACGCTGGTCTCTGATGAGCCATCCCTGACACAGCCTGGTTTCCAATCTGAATTGTTTAAGAATTAAATTCTTCACAGACTGTGTGAGAAGCTAAGGGGTTTGGACATGGGAGAAGCTGTCAAATGGAAAGGGAGTCAGCCTTGAACCAGATACTGTCTCCCAGGAAAATAAACCAACCCTCAAAGGTGCTAGGCCTCCCCCAACTTTTGGGATTTTTTCGGATGTTGTCTTCTCTGTAGGGCTGCCTCTCTCTGTTTTATTCTGAAATAGGAAATCAACCGGGTTTTTCCTCCTTGAAACCAGAGAGATGCAAACAGATGGCCGAGGTGAAAGGAATTTTGTTAAAAAAAAAAAAAAAAAAGGAAATTCATTTCTAGTGGACTAAAATCTACACGAAATATTATTGGACCCCAATCAACTATAGAATTCTATAAGTTCCTCGACTTCATCAAAACCTACATTATAATCTTTTCTTTCCTTGTGTTCATAAAAAATTGTGGATTTCCTTCATGCAGTCTTGTTTTTTTCTTTTTGCCAGTCCTGGGGCTTGAACTCAGGGCCTGGGCGCTGTCCCTGAGCTTCTTTTTGCTTAAGGCTGGTGCTCAACCACTTAAGCCACACCACTACTTCCAGCTTTTGCTGCGTGTTTGGTGCTGAGGAATCAAATCCAGGGCATCATGCATGCTAGGCGAGCACTCTACCACTGAGCCACCTGCCCAGTCATATATATATATATACATATATACATACATATATACATATATGTATATATATATACACATATATGTATATATGTATATATATATACACACACACACATACATACATATATTTAATATATATATGTACATACACATATAGATGTGTATATATATATGTGATATATATATATATATAATATATATATTAATCATGTACACAGAAACTGGATGGTTTTACAATTGTATTTATGCACTAAACAGGTTAAAAAAATTCCCCAAATCAATTAATTCAATATTCAAAGTGTTTGAAAACGCTGAGATATATTGCTATGGAATCTAGAAATTCTGTATCCATTAAGTCTCCATCTTACGGAAAGCGCAAAACACTAGGAAAGAGTGCTGTTGTATACTATTCAATCCCCACCATCCACACAGACTATCTTGAGGTTCTGTGTGCTGTGTGCATGCATTTGCACGTTTGTAGCTAACTACAGAAAACACAGACCATCCAAAATGTAAAGTGTTAATGGGAAGGAAAGAGGAAAGATGATTGACAGATGACAGATGATACCTCGAGAAAGAAAGCTGTTAGATGATTGATAGATGAAAGGTAGATAGGCAGAAATAGATGGATAGATAGATAATAGAGATAATAATTGGTAGATACGTGATAGACATATGATAGACTGACAGACAGACATACAATATTCCAGGTTATCAAGCAGAAATATTAAGGAAAGAATTACCCACATCAGGGAGAATGTGTGATTATTATCTTTTAAAGAAAGGCAGAAGGAAAGGGGGCTTATGCTGTACCCAATCTGTTGAAATCACTTCCCAAACTGTCCTCCAATAAGTCAAAGGTCAGAGAATGAGGGAGAAAATAGAAGTTGTGCAAATGAATGGGAATGAGAGCCTGCCTGTCTCTTATTGATTCTTTAATCTTCGAATTTCATTCGCTGTCAGATGGAAATTGCTTGCTGCTGACACAGAAGCATGCACACACGCATGCACGTGTACAGACAGACAGACACACACACACACACACACACACACACACACACAAAATGAGCAACATTTGACATCCTAAACTATAAAAATAACTACAGTAGTAGATATTCACTAGATGTTTCTGCTAGAAGTGCTTAAACATTTTCAGCTCTAGATATCAGCTCTACCTATCTACCATCCATCCATCTATCATCTATCCATTCATTCATCCATCTGTCATCTATCTCTCCATCCATCCATCATCTATCTGTCTGTCTGTCTATCTATCTAGCATCTATCTATTTATCTACCATTTACCAGAATTCCTTTATGTCAGGCTACTGAAGGATGCCCTGAATGAACCTTATTTTCAAAGCTGGTACCAGAAGCTGTTGGCTGCTTTTCAATTCTGTCAGAAAAGCCTGAATGAGGAGTTTTCCAAGGAGAGGAAACTTATCCACCTTCTGGGAGACATTGCGGAACAAGTCAAGACTGTCAGCGACTCTCAAAGACAGGTGTATCACGAAATCAATCTTAACAGAGTACAAATTACATGTGTGTGTGTGTTCAATTCAAGTAATGTTCAATTCAAGTAAGTTTTAATGTCATAATTTAGAAAACAAATTCCTTGGCTATACTCAGTTATCAGATATTTAAATCATTTCAAGCAAGTTGTTTTTTTTTTTCACTTCCTCTCCTAATATTAATGATAATGTCTGTCACCACAACACAGCTTTTCCTTAAGAGTTCCATAAACAACACAGAGGGAAACTGATGAGAAAGGACCAGAGTTCAAGTCCCACATATGACAGAAGAAAAAATTTGGTCAGTCATGGTGCTTGAACTCGGGGCCTGGGCGCTGTCCCTGAGCTCTTTTGCTCAAGGCTGGTGCTCTACCACTTGAGCCGCAGCACCACTTCTGGTTTTCTGGTGGTAATAATAGGAGATAAGAGTCTCATGGACTTTCCTACCCAGGCTGGCTTTGAACCGTGATCCTCATATCTCAGCCTCCTGACTTGCTAGCATGACAGGCATCAGCCACCAGTACTCAGTGAAAAGACCAATTTAAAGACACGTGGACCCCTGACAGTACATCTTAAAACATCAGTACAATTTAGACTGTTGTAAGAATGCACAAATTCTAGGTTAAAGTTTTCTTAAGTTTGGCCGGGCACTGGTGTCATTCCAGGTACTCAGGAGGCTGAGATCTGAGAATCACAATTCAAAAGCAGTCAGGGCAGGAAAGTCTATGAGACAATTCTCCTCAATGAGCCACAAAATAAAACAGAAGTGGACCTGTGATTTAGGTGGTCGAGCACCAGCCTTGAGCAACACACAAACCAAACAGAAACAAAATCCTCAGGAACAGTACCCAGGCCCTGAGTTCTGGCACAAATAAAAAGGGTGTTTAATCAGTAGAAAAAAAGAGTACTTTGCAAGACTCAAGCTCTTGACAATTTTTTTTTTATTGTCAAGGTGATGAACAGAGGGAGTCACAGTTACATAAGCTAGGTCACGAGTACATTTCTTTTTGGAACAGTTTGATGGTTTCTGAAATGCTTCTGTTTCCTAATGACTTCTCTCACAGGAAGTCCTGGGGAAGGAGATAGGCAGATTAGAAGAATTCTTTCAAGATGTAAAGACTTGCCATCTTCCTCTAAATCCTGCCTGGTGTGTCAAAGGAACTGATCGCAATGTAAGTAAATTGATACAACTGAAAAGTCTTTCTCAGTCTATTGTATATATGCAAATGTGTGTGTGTGTGTGTGTGTGTGTGAGTATTTTTTTTTCCTTCTCTCAGTCCTGGGGCTTGAACTCAGGCCCTGAGCCCTGTCCCTGAGCTCTTTTGTTCAAGGCCAGTGCTCTACCACTTTGGGCCACAGCTCCATGTCTGGCTTTTTTGGGGGTGATTCATTGGAGCTCAGAGTCTCATGGACTTTCCTGCCCAGACTGGCCTCCAACTGGGATCCTCAGATCTCAGCCTCCTGAGTCTCTAGGATGACAGGTGGGAGCCACTGGTAGTGGCTATATGTTTTCAAAGTAACTATTTCTGGCTGCAGAAATCATGCATCCTCATCTTTAAAACTGTAAAACCCAAACCGATCGACTTAGGAAAGGCTTGTAATTGGTGAAGGCTTCATTTAGATTGACATGAATAAACACAACAATCAAAAGAGTGAGAAAACCACAGAAGAGGACATGCTCTAGCCCTGGGGTCACCTCAGAGACCAAGGTCCACACCGCTCTGTTCTGGAGGCTGAGGCCTAGAGGAACCAGATTTGAGGCTCAATTCTAATCTCTGTCCAATTAGCCAGGCCAAGATTAGCAGGGAGGCATGGCTCAGGTGGTCGAGGCACCACTGTGAGCAGTGACTGAGACAGTGAAGCTGAAGGGACATGAGTTCGAGTCCCAAGACTGGGAGTTGGGGGCAGATAATGACAGGAAGCCTAGGGAACCTGAGCTCAGGACTCTGGCCTTGCTAGGCAGGCTCATTCCCCAGCTTCCTTTATTTGACTTAATGTTTGGCTTGGGGTAGGGCTGGCCTGTGTTCCTTGGCTGGGTGAAGCCTGGCGTGGCCCCGCCGTCTGTCCTCCCTGGGCCACGATCCAGGTGTGTTTAGAACTCACGACGGAGTCCGGGTGCTGAAACTCAGTTCCCCCGCAATAACCTTCTGGTAATCCGCCCTGGCGCCATGGTGCTGCGCCAACCATTGCTGGAGGGAGCTTTCTTTCAGCGACCCCATAAGCCCCACCTGGCGGTGGGTGCTGGCAAAAGTCAAGGCCTCTGGGACCATGTGCACCAGCCCTAAGGGAGGAGGGAGGTGTAAGGAGGGAGGAGGGAAGAGGGAGGGGGGAAAGGAGGGAGAGGGGGGAGGATGTAGAGGAGGGAAGAGAGAGAGGGTGGAGAGGAGAGAGGAGGGAGGAGGGGAGGCGAAAGAGAGTGGAGAGGAAGGAGGAGAGGGTGGATAGGGAGGATGGAGGGGAGGGAGGAGCAGAAGATGGAGGGGAGGGAGAGGAGGGAGGCGAGGGAGGATGGAGGAGGGGAGGAGAGAGAGGGTGGAGAGGAGGGAGGAGGGAGAGTAAGGTGGAGGGAGGAGGGAGAGTAAGGTGGAGGGAGGAAGGAGAGGAGAGAAGAGTAAAGGAGAGGAAGGATGGAGAAGGTGGATGGAGAGGAGGGAGGAGGAGAGGAAAAAGGGTGGAGAGGGGAGGAGAGAGGGTGGAAGAGGGGAAGAGAGAGGGTGGAGGAGTGGAGGAGAGAGAGGTTGGAGAGAGAGGATGGAGAGGAGGGTTCAGGGGAGGAGAGGGAGGATGTAGAAGAGAGGAGGAGGAGAATGGAGAAGAGACAAGGGAGGAGGGAGAGTAGGGGAGCAGAGAAGGGAGGAGAGGGATGATGTAGGAGGGAAGGAGGGAGGAGGAGAGGAGCGGGAGGATGGAGGAGTTTGGAGAGGAGGGAGGAGGAGAGGAGAGGAAGGAGGAGGGAGAGGAGAGGAAGGAGGAGGGAGCGGAGGGAGGAGGGGAGGAGAGAGGGTAGAGAGGTAGGATGGAGAGGAGAGGATGGAGAGGAGGGAGGAGGGGAGGTGGGAGAGGAGGGAGGAAGGGAGGAGAGAGGGTAGAGAAGAGTTTCCTTTCCCACAAGGATGCCCGCTTTGGGTCCAGTGAAACACATCATTATTGATCATTATTGGCCATTGTTGATCATTAGTCTCCTTTCAAAACGTTTCATACAGAAGATTTTGATAGACTGGCTCTTCTGACTCTCTCTAAATCCTGCAATTAATGTGGCGGTTTGTAGACTTTGGGCTGGGTAAGTCAGAACCAACAGCTTTTATGTAATATATAATATATAAAATACATAGTATAGGAAATATATACTATATAACATATATAATATATCCTATCTCTTAATATCTATATCACATAATTTTAATACATTATATAATGTATTAACTATTTAATATGAATAGTACATATTATATTACATGTATTATATCAATATTATTAGAACACACTAATTTATATGAATAGATATCTTAATTGTATAATATATACTATACTATACTAATTATAGATATTCTATACTATTATATAAGTATTATAGTATATCATTTGTTATAAATATATATCATATAGCATATGATATATAATCTATGAATTATACATGATACATATTATATTTGTATATTCTATAATATCTTATAGCTATGCATATACAGTATATATAATATAGACACACCAGCCTTGAGCACAGAAAGCTCGGGCACAGCTCCCAGCCCTCAGTTCAAGCTCCAGGACCGGCACAAAACCAAACCCAAACCGAAAATATGTTATCTGACCTAAGATCGGGGAGCTGCTTTTCAGAGTTGGGGGGGGGGTGTTGTTGTAGTTTATATCAGAAACATATTCTCCTGCTGAAGTGAACCGAATGCCATCTTCCTAACAGTCACTACTCAAAATACACGTTGGAGGCCCAGGCCCAGGCTGAGATAATGCACAACTGAGAGTGGACAGAATAGCTCTGCAGGGATGCTGTGGGAAGCCATTTATTCTCTCCCTCTCCGTCAACAAGCAAGGAGACATGCAATAATATTTGATCTGGAAAGGGAGTGATTATTGATCGCTATAAGTAGGGATTTGCTAAAATGGCATACAACCAGACAGGAGATTTTTTACCCCCTGCCCTTGTTATTAGTTATTTGTTTATTAGTGTGTAACTATTTTCAAGCCTTCTGAGTTTTAATCTACACCCAACTGCAGTTCAAATGTTATTTAAGCTGGACACTGGCATTCCCACCTGTCATCCCAGCTATTCAGGAGGCTGAGATCTGAGGATCGTGGTTCAAAGCCAGCCTTGGCAGGAAAGTCTGTGAGACTCCGATCTCCAATGAGCCACCAGAAAACTGGAAGGGGCTCAAGTCGTAGAGCGTTTGCCTTGAGCTCAGGGACAGTACCTGGGCCCTGAGTTCAAATCCAGGACTGACAAAACAAGACAAACCCAGAGCATTTGGAAATGTCTACATTTCATGTGAGAAGCTAACAATCATACTTCTTTGGCATATGCAGGCTTCTGTATTACAGAGAGTTCTGGATATAAGACGGGTTGACTTTAGATTTTTGAAATTTATGGTTGTGCAACAGTGACAAGCTTGCAGGAGAGAGCAGTATTTTGACCTCTGAATCGCGAGCTCTCTCTGAATCATGTGCTTATGCATTGTTGTTGGATACTGGTTAGCTGTACAAGCGAGCTCATAATCCACAGAATGGCAGTCCATTGTCAGATAAATGAGGCTCAACTACCCACACTCTTCCCCAATACTAGATTTTGCTTCACGACATCTCCACAACCTCAAATGTCAAGGCATTATGACACGTAGAAAAATTAAAGAAAACCAGGGGCTGGAAAGGTAGTTTAGTGGTAGAGTACTCACCTAGCATACATGAAGCACTGGGTTCAATAACTCAGTCCCACCTATACAGAAAAAGCCAGAAGCGAAGCAATGGCTCAAGTGGTAGACTGGCAGCTTTCAGCAAAAAGGAGTTCAGGGACAGTGCTCAGGCCCTGAGTTGAAGACCCAGGACTGACTAACATAAATACATAAATAAGAGTAAAATAAAAGAAAACTAGGAATTAGTCCATGGTGTGTTAAAAGAGAGAGAGAGAGAGAGAGAGAGAGAGAGAGAGAGAAAGGATATTTTTCCAGCAAAGAAGAATGCATATTGCTCTGTGGAATACCGAATTTCCGATCTGAGAGCCCGTGCATGCATGGAGATGGGCTGCTATCCATAGGATCGCGGTCTGACTTTGCACTGACCTTGGTCCTTGCTTGTGGAAAGGCAGTGGTAGGTGATCATCCGCAGGTCCAGGCCTTCCTGCAGCCACATCCAGTCCATGGCTTCCGTCAGCTGCAGGACCAGCATGTCCTGACCCAAGTCATCTCCTGTCTGGCAAGAATAAAACAGTATCTGCTGGGTTGTTCTAGAAGCTTCCCTTAAAAGCCTGCTCACAAGCCACTTTGATTTTTTTCCTTGGATACATTAACTTGATTTGATTGACTGTTTTTTTTTTCTTTTTTTTTAACCTGTCCTGGGACTTGAACTCAGGGCCTAGGCTCTGTACCTTGAGCTCTTTCACTCAAGGCTGGTGCTGTACCATTTGAGCCACAGCTCTACTTCCAGTTTTCTGGTGGTTCATAGGAGAACAGAGTCTCACGGACTTTTCTCCCCAGGCTGGCTTTGAACTGCAATCCTCTAGATCTCGGTCTCTTGAGTAGCTGACTGTTGGCTTCAGGCTCCTTTTTCCAGCCTGCCTATTACTCTGTGAGCACTGTTCTCTCTCCTTTCCCACCTCGTGACACTCTAGAAGAAGGTCAAGCCAGTCCCTGTGTACATCTCATTTTACAAAAGAGAGAAGCAGGGTGATTTGCTCAACTAGTTAAGCACTCAACAGAGAAGATTCTGACTCCAAATCCACTCTGGCCATTTGAGTTCTTGCTCAATTTCATGCTCATAAAGTTAGGATTGGGGCCAACAGAAAAGTCTCCTCAGAGACGTTCTACTCCACCTTGCGTTTTCTGTGCCTTTCACAAGGGATTGCGCACTTTCCTTTAGGACGACGCCTCCTCAGATGCTTTGCACCAAGGATTGCCTGGCTCTGAGCCAGTCATGTTTAATTTATTGCCAATTCTAGTTTGGCAGGTAGTATATCATTCTGAAAAGAAGGAGAAGAAGGAGGAGGAGGAGAAGGGGGGAGGAGAAGGAGAAGAAGAAGAAAAGGGGAGGAGGAGGAGGAGAAGAAGAAGAAAAGAGGAGGAGGAGGAAGGAGGAAGAAGAGAAGGAGAAGAAGGAAAAAGGAGGAGGAAAGGAGGAGGTGAGGAAGAGGAGGAGGAGGAAGAAGAAGAAGGAGGAGGGGGAAGAGGAGAAGAAGAAGAGGAGGAGGAGGAAGAGGCCAGAGGGAGGAGGGGGAGGAGGAGGAAGAAGGAGGAGGAAGAAGAGGAGGAAGAGGAGGAGGATGGGGAGAGGGAATAGGAAGAGGAGGAGGAAGAAGGAGGAAGAGAAGGAGAAGAAGAGGAGGAGTAGGAGGAAGAAGAAGAGGAAGAAGAAGGAGAAGAAGAAAAAGAGGAGGAGGAACAGTAGGAGGAAGAGGAGGAGAAAGGAGGAGGGGGAGGAGGAGGAGAAGGAGGCATGATCTAAACCAGTGGCTTCACCTCTGCTTTGCTCTAGGGGAAGATCGCAGTGACTGTTTCTCGCAGTGGGCAGATCACCTGTTTGGCTGTGAACAGGGAGTCACTGAGGCCTTTGAGGCCAGCTACTGTATCTTGAAATAATGCTGATGCTTCTACCAGTTTGGTTTGCGTTGATGAGAGAGATCTTCAGTGGCAAAGCGTGGGACATGAAATACAAGCATGCATCAAGCATGCATACAGGGGCTTGTGAAGAGCGGGGAGAAAACCAGCGATCAGAGCAAAGCAAACTGAAAGCCTTACTTCAAGCCACCACCCCTGGTGGCGTTTGCTCGATGAGCGAATACTGTGCGTAGGATAGGCTGTTTTGAGACTTTGGAATGAAGTTTGTGAAATCAATCAATTAAATTTATCTTTTGTGCCAGCCTGGGCCTTGAACTCAGGCCTCGGTGTTTGGCACTGAGCTTTTTTTTTTTTTCTTACTGAAAGCTGGTGCTCTACCACTTGAGCCTCAACTCCATTTCTGGCTTTTTTGGTGGCTCATTGGAGATAAGAGTATCACAGACTTTCCTCCCTGGGCTGGCTTCCAGATCTTTCTTTCAGGTCTTTCTCTGCATAGTTTTAGAGCCCTGTATAGACCATCATGGGCTATGAGCATGAAGGTGGAATATTCCAGAAATGAAACAAATAATTCCCGTGTTAATTTGCTATAGCATTATGAGTAGACAGATAAGATATTCCAGCAGCCCACTGCTGGTACTAAAGCACTGCTATGTGCAGCCTGTCACTGTTATAGGATGCAGTCACCAACCATTAGCTAGCAGCTTAGACAATTACACTAAGATAGTGCTTCCACCCTGGTGGCCATTATTTTACTAAATGATGAAATCAGACAGGCCAGGTTATTTTACTACCATATATTGTTGCTCTTCTATTTGATTAGTACCTATAAATATTGTCAATCTGTCATCTTGTCTTTATCCTAGACAGAGGAAAGAAGACATGGCTAATGAAGAACTTGACCCTATCTGTGCAATGAGACCTTCGCTGGGGAATTTGGAGCATGATCTCTGTTGATAAAGGGGTATTAATTGCACCCCGTACCCTTCAATGGACAAGTCAGCTTGCTTCTGGTACTTTAGAAAAGTTCAACTGTAGCTTTTCTTCATTGAATCACAGTGACACGCTCAAAGTCAAATAACTGAGCAGGAAGGAGACATGACTAAGCTCACGGACTAATAGGAGGTCCAAGTTCCTATTCCTATTTTTTAAAAAAAAGACCTGCATTCAAATCGGGGCTGTATAACACGTTCGTTCTCTAGAGTATTTCAAGTGAGTCAAGTCACTTTTCTATAGCCTATTGTACAATGAATCCATTTTAACTTTTCCTTCCTTCCTTCCTTCCTTCCTTCCTACCTTCCTTCCTACCTTCCTACCTTCCTTCCTTCCTTCCTTCCTTCCTTCTTCCCTTTCTTTCTTTCTTTTGCTTGTCCTGGGGCTTGAAGTCAGGGTCCAGGCGCTGTCCTTGAGCTCTTTCACTCAAAGCTGGTTCTCTACCACTTGAGCCACAGCTCCACGTCTGGTTTTCTGGTGGTTCATTGGAGATCAGAGTCTCATGAATTTCCTGCCTGGGCTGGCTTTGAAGCCGGATCCTCAGATCTCAGCCTTCTGAGTCCCTGGGATGACAGGTGTGAGCCGAAGGCTCCTTCCTTTTCATTCACGGACATTTTCTCTCTAAATAAAAGTGCCATGGATTTTCCCCTTCAAGTTTCTCGCTGGTGGTATTTAAGTGTTCAGACACTGGCTGCTTTTCTACTCATTTTATTTTCCTTGTGATGGTGTGAGAATTGACGGGGTGTGGACTGGCTATGTGTGTTTGGCCCACTAGAAGAGGCCAGAAGTGTTCAATCAATAAGAGAAAAAGAGAATAGAAAAGGTCGGACACGTTCAATTGTTTCAACTTGGTAAAATATGGTTTCAGCCCAGCTTGGACCTTAACCCTGTGAGTTGAAAAGCGAAGCATCCATATCCTAACTGACCTATTCATGTCAATCTAAATGAAGCCTTCACCAATTACAAGCCTTTCCTAAGTCGATTGGTTTGGGTTTTACAGTTTTAAGGATGAGGATGCATGATTTCTGCAGCCAGAAATAGTTACTTTGAAAACATATAGCCACTACCAGTGGCTCCCACCTGTCATCCTAGAGACTCAGGAGGCTGAGATCTGAGGATCCCAGTTGGAGGCCAGTCTGGGCAGGAAAGTCCATGAGACTCTGAGCTCCAATGAATCACCCCCAAAAAAGCCAGACATGGAGCTGTGGCCCAAAGTGGTAGAGCACTGGCCTTGAACAAAAGAGCTCAGGGACAGGGCTCAGGGCCTGAGTTCAAGCCCCAGGACTGAGAGAAGGAAAAAAAAATACTCACACACACACACACACACACACATTTGCATATATACAATAGACTGAGAAAGACTTTTCTGTTGTATCAATTTACTTACATTGCGATCAGTTCCTTTGACACACCAGGCAGGATTTAGAGGAAGATGGCAAGTCTTTACATCTTGAAAGAATTCTTCTAATCTGCCTATCTCCTTCCCCAGGACTTCCTGTGAGAGAAGTCATTAGGAAACAGAAGCATTTCAGAAACCATCAAACTGTTCCAAAAAGAAATGTACTCGTGACCTAGCTTATGTAACTGTGACTCCCTCTGTTCATCACCTTGACAATAAAAAAAAAATTGTCAAGAGCTTGAGTCTTGCAAAGTACTCTTTTTTTCTACTGATTAAACACCCTTTTTATTTGTGCCAGAACTCAGGGCCTGGGTACTGTTCCTGAGGATTTTGTTTCTGTTTGGTTTGTGTGTTGCTCAAGGCTGGTGCTCGACCACCTAAATCACAGGTCCACTTCTGTTTTATTTTGTGGCTCATTGAGGAGAATTGTCTCATAGACTTTCCTGCCCTGACTGCTTTTGAATTGTGATTCTCAGATCTCAGCCTCCTGAGTACCTGGAATGACACCAGTGCCCGGCCAAACTTAAGAAAACTTTAACCTAGAATTTGTGCATTCTTACAACAGTCTAAATTGTACTGATGTTTTAAGATGTACTGTCAGGGGTCCACGTGTCTTTAAATTGGTCTTTTCACTGAGTACTGGTGGCTGATGCCTGTCATGCTAGCAAGTCAGGAGGCTGAGATATGAGGATCACGGTTCAAAGCCAGCCTGGGTAGGAAAGTCCATGAGACTCTTATCTCCTATTATTACCACCAGAAAACCAGAAGTGGTGCTGCGGCTCAAGTGGTAGAGCACCAGCCTTGAGCAAAAGAGCTCAGGGACAGCGCCCAGGCCCCGAGTTCAAGCACCATGACTGACCAAATTTTTTCTTCTGTCATATGTGGGACTTGAACTCTGGTCCTTTCTCATCAGTTTCCCTCTGTGTTGTTTATGGAACTCTTAAGGAAAAGCTGTGTTGTGGTGACAGACATTATCATTAATATTAGGAGAGGAAGTGAAAAAAAAAAACAACTTGCTTGAAATGATTTAAATATCTGATAACTGAGTATAGCCAAGGAATTTGTTTTCTAAATTATGACATTAAAACTTACTTGAATTGAACATTACTTGAATTGAACACACACACACATGTAATTTGTACTCTGTTAAGATTGATTTCGTGATACACCTGTCTTTGAGAGTCGCTGACAGTCTTGACTTGTTCCGCAATGTCTCCCAGAAGGTGGATAAGTTTCCTCTCCTTGGAAAACTCCTCATTCAGGCTTTTCTGACAGAATTGAAAAGCAGCCAACAGCTTCTGGTACCAGCTTTGAAAATAAGGTTCATTCAGGGCATCCTTCAGTAGCCTGACATAAAGGAATTCTGGTAAATGGTAGATAAATAGATAGATGCTAGATAGATAGACAGACAGACAGATAGATGATGGATGGATGGAGAGATAGATGACAGATGGATGAATGAATGGATAGATGATAGATGGATGGATGGTAGATAGGTAGAGCTGATATCTAGAGCTGAAAATGTTTAAGCACTTCTAGCAGAAACATCTAGTGAATATCTACTACTGTAGTTATTTTTATAGTTTAGGATGTCAAATGTTGCTCATTTTGTGTGTGTGTGTGTGTGTGTGTGTGTGTGTGTGTGTCTGTCTGTCTGTACACGTGCATGCGTGTGTGCATGCTTCTGTGTCAGCAGCAAGCAATTTCCATCTGACAGCGAATGAAATTCGAAGATTAAAGAATCAATAAGAGACAGGCAGGCTCTCATTCCCATTCATTTGCACAACTTCTATTTTCTCCCTCATTCTCTGACCTTTGACTTATTGGAGGACAGTTTGGGAAGTGATTTCAACAGATTGGGTACAGCATAAGCCCCCTTTCCTTCTGCCTTTCTTTAAAAGATAATAATCACACATTCTCCCTGATGTGGGTAATTCTTTCCTTAATATTTCTGCTTGATAACCTGGAATATTGTATGTCTGTCTGTCAGTCTATCATATGTCTATCACGTATCTACCAATTATTATCTCTATTATCTATCTATCCATCTATTTCTGCCTATCTACCTTTCATCTATCAATCATCTAACAGCTTTCTTTCTCGAGGTATCATCTGTCATCTGTCAATCATCTTTCCTCTTTCCTTCCCATTAACACTTTACATTTTGGATGGTCTGTGTTTTCTGTAGTTAGCTACAAACGTGCAAATGCATGCACACAGCACACAGAACCTCAAGATAGTCTGTGTGGATGGTGGGGATTGAATAGTATACAACAGCACTCTTTCCTAGTGTTTTGCGCTTTCCGTAAGATGGAGACTTAATGGATACAGAATTTCTAGATTCCATAGCAATATATCTCAGCGTTTTCAAACACTTTGAATATTGAATTAATTGATTTGGGGAATTTTTTTAACCTGTTTAGTGCATAAATACAATTGTAAAACCATCCAGTTTCTGTGTACATGATTAATATATATATTATATATATATATATCACATATATATATACACATCTATATGTGTATGTACATATATATATTAAATATATGTATGTATGTGTGTGTGTGTATATATATATATATACATATATACATATATGTGTATATATATATACATATATGTATATATGTATGTATATATGTATATATATATATATGACTGGGCAGGTGGCTCAGTGGTAGAGTGCTCGCCTAGCATGCATGATGCCCTGGATTTGATTCCTCAGCACCAAACACGCAGCAAAAGCTGGAAGTAGTGGTGTGGCTTAAGTGGTTGAGCACCAGCCTTAAGCAAAAAGAAGCTCAGGGACAGCGCCCAGGCCCTGAGTTCAAGCCCCAGGACTGGCAAAAAGAAAAAAACAAGACTGCATGAAGGAAATCCACAATTTTTTATGAACACAAGGAAAGAAAAGATTATAATGTAGGTTTTGATGAAGTCGAGGAACTTATAGAATTCTATAGTTGATTGGGGTCCAATAATATTTCGTGTAGATTTTAGTCCACTAGAAATGAATTTCCTTTTTTTTTTTTTTTTTTAACAAAATTCCTTTCCCCTCGGCCATCTGTTTGCATCTCTCTGGTTTCAAGGAGGAAAAACCCGGTTGATTTCCTATTTCAGAATAAAACAGAGAGAGGCAGCCCTACAGAGAAGACAACATCCGAAAAAATCCCAAAAGTTGGGGGAGGCCTAGCACCTTTGAGGGTTGGTTTATTTTCCTGGGAGACAGTATCTGGTTCAAGGCTGACTCCCTTTCCATTTGACAGCTTCTCCCATGTCCAAACCCCTTAGCTTCTCACACAGTCTGTGAAGAATTTAATTCTTAAACAATTCAGATTGGAAACCAGGCTGTGTCAGGGATGGCTCATCAGAGACCAGCGTCCACTTCACTTCATTTCTGGACCCCAAGATATAGACGCATCGACTAACATGTCTTCACACCTCCTTCAGCTGTGGAATTTTACCCACAGAAGATGGTCAATAGAAATCCTAGTCTCCAAAAGACATCGCAGCAGCCTGGAAACTTCTACCCAATTAAAAAAAAAAAAAACAAAACAAAACACGGGGGGGTGAAGAAGAGAGAAAAAAAGTCTTAAGGGATTGAGGAGCAGCAAGGAAGGTTGGAAATGTAAATGTAAAAAAGGAGCTTTTCAACATGCAGGCTGATGTTCTCCATACACAACTGATGTGGCACATTGCTAAATTCTCCAGATCTATTTAGGCAAGAGCCAGCCAGCCGTGATTCAATTCCACAGAATCCCTGTGGCAATTCCCCCAAAGGAAAAATAAATGCATCAAATCTAGATGCTTCAAGAAGATTCACCACTCACCTAAGTGCTAGGCATGATGGGTAGGCAGTAAGAGCCACGCATCAGGGCTGAAAAGAGCAGAGAAGGAAGTTACCTCAATTAAGTAGATTCAGACATAATTGCAATGCTTTACATGAATGCAATGAGGATGATTTTTCTCTCCAACCTCGCCCCCCTTTGGAAATGGAGGCTCATCTTCATAATTTTCATGGATGCTGTGCTGGTGAAAATCACAGGGAAATTACAAGTTCACCTTTCCTCAGTCATCCCACTCATGGCCGAAAAAGATAATCTTATCAACCAGCTCTCTTTGCCTCCTGACTTTCTCCAGTCTCGCTCTTAATTTTAGTTTGGAAACATTATTATTATTATTATTATTATTATTATTATATTGTACAGATCAGGGAACAATGAAGTTCTTCAAGTTATGTTTACTCTAGAATAAATAATGGCTGAAATCCAATATGGATTCCCTATTGGATTCTCATCTTCAAATATGGAAATTGGACACCACATTCTGTATTTGCAATCCCATTGGATTTCCATGGGGAAATCTTGGATTTTCACAAGAATTCAGAAGGAACAAAAAGTACATGTTGTTTGATCCTTAGCAAGGTAATTTTACTTTTCTCTCTCTTTTCTCTTTTGTTTGGCTTCTGTGGCATAGTCATGGGGTCGTAGATTCAGTTCAATCCTGGCCTCTGCATCTATCTCTCTTTTCTGTTTCCTGTTCACCAAGGATGAAGAAACAGAAAGTGATGTTTCTGTTAAAATGGAGTTGTACTCCCCCAAGCCTGAGACCCAATGATCATGGCAGAAAGAAACCATGCACCCCAAATCCTGCCTCTCTTAAGAGTTGTTTGGGTCAGGTGTTTTAGACATAGAGATGAGAAAGGCTAATGAACATACTGAACTGAAAAAATAAAAACTGTCAGGAGCTAAGTGAATGAATTCGATGACTGATCATTTTCACCATACTATTCCAGGCTAAAAAGCAAAGCCAGGAGCCGGTGGCTCTTTTCTGTCATTCCAGCTACTCAGGAGGCTGAGTTCTGAGGATCACGGTTCAAAGCCAGCCCAAACAGGGAAGTCTGTGGGACTCTTACCTCCAATGAACCACCAGAAGATGGAAAGTGGAGCTGCAGCTCAAAGTGGTAGTGTGCCAGCCTTGAGTGAGAAATAATTAGGGACAGTGGCTAGACCCTGAATTCAAGTCTCAGGAGACACACACACACACACACACATAGAGACACACACCACCACAACCACCACCACCATCAACACCACCACCACCAACAACAACAGCAAAAAACTGTAAAAGGATTGCAAATGGCTTTCTTTCATAGATGAGAACAAGTCTCAAAGGGTAATTCAGAATTGCTTTAATTCAGCTCATTTGAACATACACATTCATTCCCCAGTGTTGAGATTTTACTGCTATTGTATTATGAATAACACTTCTTTGTGTGTGTGTGCCAATCCTGGAGCTTAAACTCAGGGCCTGGGCCCTGCCCTTGAGAATTTTTTTAAACCCAAGGCTGGTGCTCTACTACAAAAGCCATAGCTCCACTTCCTGCTTTTAACTGGTTCATTGGAGATACGATTCTCCTAGACTTTTCTGCCCTGGTTGGTTTCAAACAGTGATCCTCAGATCTAAGCCTCCTTAAGTATCTAGGGATATAGGCTTGAGCCTCTGATACCAGACATAATTCTGAGTACCTGCAGAATGAACCATGTGGCTTCTTTTGTTATTTTTGGAGGATGGAAGTCATTCATTCATTCCTCCTCCATTTCTTCCTGGCTTGGCAAATTGGAGCAGAACCCGTGGCACCATAAATCCTACAGACCTGGAGTCCTGTGGTTTAGTTTATGTGGACCAAAATGGATCTGGGGCTGAGGATGGGGGGTTCTGGAACAGGAAGTGGAGGGGTATGGCTAAGTGAAGACTGACAGCCTGGTGATACTCTAGGCTTGAGGGATGTTTAAATCAGCCTAACTGATGACTCTGTTTTTGCCTCTATTCATCACAAATATAGCCCCGAGTGCCTGTTCTTTTTTATTTAAGGGTATACTTATATATTTATTTTTGGAATGCAGGTGCCGTTGTTTTAAAGGCATCTGTTTTTTAAATAAATTTTCTCCTGAACAAAATTTCATTAAAAAACAAACCAAAAAAACCAATATGGCTAATTTTTTTGCTTTCTAAATATTTCTTAAAAATAGCAACCTAAATATGTATATATATATATATATATATAAAAATATATATATATATGTGTGTGTGTGTATGTATATATATGTGTATAGATATGTTAATATATACATATATACCCATATATACATATATATGTATATACATATATACACACATATATACATATATATACATATATGTATATACATATATATTTATACACACACACACACACACACACACACACACATATATATATATATATACATACATACATAAAAATACCTTTCTCCCCTCTTTATCCCTCAGCCTTTTATTCTTGCCCAAGCTGCTGGTGAAAAGCTGG